TAAAAAAAATCCTTTATTTTTTCTCCTTGATAAGCATCTCCAAAAAAGAAAAAAAAAAAAGTCCTTCTCTCTTGTTAGTTTCATGAAAAGGGGCAAAAAATATTCTCCAATTCAGTTAGCTCATTTACTTGTGTGGGCGAGGCAAATTAAAACAAAGAAACAAAAACCAGTTCTAAAGAGGGTGAGTGCATGTTTTGTAAAAGTAGCTATATCCAGGAACCCTTTTCAAAAGACTATATAACATTTTCCAGCAAGAGCAAGTGTTTTCAAAAAAAAAATAATAAAAAAAATCCAGATAGCAAGTAAATCCGTGCCTCTGCTTTTCCTGGATTTCACGTAGTTTGCCTGCTTTACCGTATAAAAAGAAGCAACAGAATTTAGAGCTATCCTATTTACATGTACCCGAAAAGGAAAACTAAAGTCTTTGCAGGATCTGCTTGCCTACAGGAGCAACAACTTTGGAACATGTGCCTGGGTAGCTCTGTACCTGTAGCACCCTCTGCTGCCTTTTCAGTTCCAAAACATGTAATTGTACACTCGGTCAAGTAGGAAATAAAATTAGTATGTACTGAACATACTGTTTCTTGAAAGCAGTTATATTATTAACTGATGCTACTGGCAGTTTACAAGAAAATGGTTTGCTATTACCTATAGTGCATTTGTGATTTCATGAGTTGAGAACTCTGGAATAGCTTGTTTCCCTGTTAGCATCAGGTAGATAACCAGATAAAAATCCCAAAATGGGGTGTATTTCACTGCTTAAAATTTTCCCTTACAGACACTGTAGCTTGCTTAGACCAGTGGCAGTTAGTAAAGAGGATTATATTTTGGCCCTTGATCAGTTCACTTAATTTAAATGTATGCATCATTTTAAATTATTACTGCAAGGATATAATTATACAAGCATTTCAATCATAACTGCTTTCTCCCTCTAGGAAAGGCAGGGGAAGGTGATACTCTCAAAAGCTGATTCTTGGAGTATTCCTTGCTTTCCAGACAGTCTGCTGCAGAGGACACTTTTCTTCTGCAAGGATGAGCATGGCACGTGGCTCCTTGGAGCCAGCTGATGCTATCCACAATGCCATCACTGAACCTTCTGCCTGGAATCCATCAGTTTTTTAAAAGGACTATCTTAAAACTAGAGATAGTTTCAGGATGTGCCATCTTTTTAACAGATGGCATACTGTTGTCTAAACCAGAGACTGATCCTTTCCTTCATTCCAGTCCTCTTTTCCCTGCTTCCTGTTTATACACAGAGTTAAAGCTGAATGTGGCACATTTAGCACTGCATCCTATCTGGATAATTCATTTAGAGTTTTCACATGAAAACTACTCTCGCATGAAGGATGAATAGAAGAGAAAACAAAAAAATCAATCACATTTTTTCTGGGAAAGTCAAAACCAGTTGTAATTTGTAGTGTGAATTTTCAGTCACAGTAGCAATCTTACCCTGAAAAATGCACCTTCAGAAATCTTTTGGAAAAAGAGAGAATACAACCTTAGGTACCAAGTTTGAACAAGACATCATGCAGAGGCAATTTATAGAGCTAACACTTGGGACCCTGCAATACACCGTTTACAGCTACTGCAGGTGACTCTACTTTTGTCCTAAAGTCTTTCTGCTATAAGGCAGCACTTTTAGAAGCATTCACAAGTCTTCCTCAAAAGCTGCTTATTGATATTTTATATAATGCTGCCAGCTAGTGGCATATCTTGTACTGGGAGAGTAGAGAAAGTGTCATTAACTAGAGTCTGCTCTACCACTCTTCTTTGACAGTGCATGGTGATGTGGCTGTTAGTGTTATTATCTCTTAAAAAGAAAAATATCTAGAAATGCTCCCTGAAAGAGCTTTCTTTAAGGTACTTAGGAACATGACTAGAATAAACAATAAACTCACCCCAAAACCACAAAAACCACCTTATTTTAAACAAATTATGTTTAAAAAGGGTGTAATATGTGAAATGTTTCAGGTTTTAAAAATCTAATCTACTTAATACACATTTTTTTCATCATCTAATAATCTCTGGCAAAACATGAATCTTCCTGATAGATACTCAGTATGGCAGCCAAAACAAACACATGGGACACTAAAAACTCTTTTCTGATAACTCAGTCCAAATCATTTAAGTTTAGTGGTCAATAAATAAGTTCTGACTCTGCAGTGTGTCCTAAAGAACATTAAAGTCTGCAATATTCAATAGGTCCCCTTACAGAGCATGCTACTGCATATGGGACTGATGATACTGGCTAGTTCCATTAGTATTAGGTATTAGAAGAAATAATCTAATACTGTTAATGACCAATTTAGTCATGTTTGGGGGTTTTTTATGGTAGAGTATCATTTGATAATATTTAGTTCTTAAAGAACCCCACAATACCTGTGAAAAATAGGCAATGCAATTTTACAAATACTACAACTGCCCTTACCTTTGGGGGTAAAAGGAAGCATGATTACTACCTACCATTTCCACTGTGGGTTAACAAAAAAAGAGACAAGAAATACACAGAAAAAGGTCAAAGAAAGCCAATTCAGATCAAGGAATTATGGGAGTGGACACAAATTCAGTCAGTTAGGATTCAAATAAAGCAGCTCAGTAAACACTAGACTGAGGGAACTTTACTATGATGGCGCGACAGATACGTAATTAACTGTGGCTTGGACACTGGGCACATTTATCCATACAGGTGGTAACAAAAAAGTATGATTATCACACTCTAAGCCAGTACTGCATGCTGCCGGAAGATCAGTTACCCTAAGACAGTATAGTCTAGAGTGCTTAGTAAAATGTGTATAAATCAGTAATATGTACATCAACACAGACAGACACTCACAGACATTTAAGAATGGGGAAGCAGTAAATCTGGGGATGACTTAGAAAACACTGTGTATAATAAATAGCACAGCATGAACCCTCAAAGCAATACTGAATCCAAAAGGACGCATGTGAAGCTTTGTATATACAGAGAAACAGTAAGAAGACCTACAAATGTCATATTACTTCTGTGTTAGCACTGGTGGTGTGCCTGTTAGAGTATAAGTCTTGTTCTGCCATCTGCAATCAATAAGAAAGTAGCTGGAATACTGGAAAAAGTTAACAGAAGAGCTGACAGCACATCTATCAATAGGAAAGCATATGAAAACTTTAGCAGAGTAAATTATTTGTGTTAACAAGGAATTTGTGTAGATTGATCACAATCCAAGTACTCACACAAAGATTAAGAAATCACGTTACCATGTTTAACAGAGTAAGTAAGGTATACTGTCTTGATCCACTGGGAAGCACTTTTAGACAAATTTAAAAAACAAATAAAATTCCACTGTCCAAACTAAATTCTCAAGTTGCAACCCAAGAAACTAAAATAAACATTTTTTTCTGGATCCAAACCCCCAGTTTGGATTTTTTTTCCTTTATCAAGAACAGTTTATGAGAATAAAGTAACTTGCTATAGAAACCTCCCTAGCTTCCTATTCTAAGAATCTACACATCAAGTCTCTCTAAATGCTTCCCATAATTTAAGCAAAGTATTTTCTTCCAGAGTCTAAATGTCTTAAATCAAAATGGTTTTATCATTGAGCTCATGATGACTACCTTTGTAGCTGATGTCAACCATAATTACAGATGTGAATTTTGTTTCTCAAACTTAATATAGTCAATTTGGATAGCTATATATCCCTTAAATATAAATCTCATTCAGAAATCAAGAGAACATTCTCTTTGGTAACAGTTAAAGAATATACCCTGAAGTATTTTGTGACAGGACCACAGAACCATCTTCAATGTTCAGAATGGAATGAAAGCTAGCAAATTTTAAAAAGGAGAGCACATCGTTTATGATTATTTTTTCCCTTTCAAGGCAAAAGTTTCTTAAATAAACTGACCTGTTTCCCAAGGTCCTAAGCCAACGTCTATTGCAATACTAAGATTGGAGCTTTGAGAGGAAACATATATATATATATATACATATATATCAGAACAGTTTCTGTAGCATTGCTTTGACAAGGAGAAACAGGTATGTGCACATTTCTTGAATATCTGGCAAACTTACAGACACACACCCGCCCCCTTTACTCTATCGGGCTGTGTGTCTGAAAACAAACCAACCTGAAAAGGAAGGCAGAATAATCAAACAAGAATTATATGTACAACTGGAAATGTTAATTATATAATGGTAATACTCATTACATCAGAAGTATTTAAATATTTTTCGTCAGCTCCTTTTCCACGATCTACCACAATTTTATAATTTAAGTCCATTAATAGCACAGATAATTTTATTAATAAGTACACTGAAGCAGAGACATACTAGGTCAGACATTGAAGGTCCACTTATGTCTCATCTTGTCTCGGGTTAATGGTGCCCAGTAACTGATGCTTACACAAGAGTGAAAGATCAGGACAAATGTATCATCCTGCTGCTCCATTAATTCTCCTAATATCCAGCACTTCCTGAGCCATAAAGTAATTTCTTTATATTTAATAGCCACAGTGAATTTTTTCTGCACAATTCTTTGCCCTTTGTTTTTTTAATGCATGTCATGTTCTATGCTCCAATAAATTCTGTGGGGACTTGACCATGTGCTTTCTTTCATTTTACTCTGGTTTGAGTTTGCCCTCTCCAAGACAGAAGTATAAGTGTTTGCTTCCCGAGTTTTTGCACTGTTCCGCAGATAGCCACTGCTGGCCACTGGACAACACAAGTCAATGGGCTAAACCAATTTTCTACTCAGCCCAGTTCAGCTACTCTAATATTCCTGTCACAGTCACAGAACCAGAAATAACCCACACTGACTTACAGGTATATCCACACAAACAACTGGGATACGTAAACCAGGGTAACACATAAACCACTATGATAGGAAGATCTGTATCTCTGACCACACTGATGGTGTTTCTCAGCTAAATGAAATGGTTTTTGAGGGCTCATACAGAAATATTTTATATTGATACAATTAGACTTCTGTTAACATAGTACCGTATTTAAATAAACAACGACTTACAGACATTCCCTGTGTTGTCAAAACTTGTCAGAACTTCTTTAACATTTAAGAGTCCATTGTGAAATCTGGAAGAAAACATAAACAATGACTTTACCAACCTATAACCAACTTAAAAAACAACCAAACAATCCATAACATAACACACACATCTCTAGCACAAAAGAGGTTCACTGCAGGCATTCACTTCTCACAAACCCCTGACACAGACAAGTAACAAACAGGTACTACTGTAGCCACCAGGGGGAAAACAAAGGGACAGCCACAGGTCTGCAAAGTTCCATCACTGAAATCCACGAACCAGGAACATGTTTCACAGAAACGAATACTTTATCAAACCAAAAAGCCTTCCAAAAAGCATCTATTTTTGTTTAGTTGTGGAAGTCACATATAATAAAGGAATAATTTTGGTAAAGACAAGTTTTGAACAGCAAGGAACTGTACACAAATTCCTATTTTCTCCCACAAAATCAAGAACACTTAATTAATGTGAACAATAAAACTGATCGATGTGTTCAGAGAACTGCATTTTCTTTGGTTTTACATCTGCGTAACCCAAGTGAAATAAACATCCTAAACTGGGGATAATAAATTAAATAACTGTTTTTTACATAGCACAGTGCAGAAAACACTGACTGCATCAGAAAGAACATGCACCAAAGTTGAATACAATTTTACCTAAAAATTTTCCTCTAAATGTTATAGATGTCAGGGTAGTTGGAGTCACACACACAAAAAAGCAACTGAGAATTTTTTAACTATACCCATCTGATCTATGCCTCAAATGCACAAAATAAAAACATCTGACACTTCACAACAGCCAGGTCACAGAGCTGTTCCACAAATACATTAAAAACATCTAAAAAGAATTCAGCAAGGCAGTAAAATACAAAACCACAGCCTTTTAACAGTATTTTAAATGAAGCTTCTCAGGCTGTTCAGGAACATGCTAATTTGAAACACTGAAAAAATGGAAGAAATCCAACAATTCTAGCATCTACAAAATTAGTTCTCATTCTCTCAGCTTTTCTGTCCTGAAGAAAGATTGTTGTAAGAATGAAAAAATATGAAATTGCACATTTATCGTGCAAAGAAACCCATTTGGAGATTCTGATAAGCTTAAGCATTAAATAAAGAAACATTTACATAGTAAACTTTGAGAAGCAGCAAACAGCAACCAGAGTAGCTCTTAAAAAAATGGAAGTCAAATGGAAATCTGATTAATAAACTGAAATGAGCTTATAAACAAGGACAATAAAATACAGGAAACATGTTACAAAAGACTGAACTGGACATAAGAGCTCTTCTCCCAGCTACATAAAAAAGCCCAAAACACATTCCTTGGCTGCAGTGGAAGCCTAGAACAATTCTGATGGATCATATGGACTTAAAACGCACTTTTTCTCCTTCTTTTTTTTTTTTTTTTCTAGTGAGTGTTTTCAATCGGATTGGACAACCAGTGCAGCAGAGTTAATTCAAGAGAAGCGACAAGGAAGCAGACAGGATCAGTAGTTCTGTCAAGCACTGAGCTGCCCTTTAAACTGTCCCCTACTGACTCCTCAGTATCCTCTGAACTCCGTCACTGTGTATATGTCTGACACAGTTAGGGTCTCTCAGACAGCTGTGAACCTCTTATCTCTAAATAAATGTAAGATGGGGGTGAGGGAGATGCTAAGTAATGAACTACTCTAATCTCAGTTAGCATGCAGACTAGTCCTGGGATAATGTGTTTTGGTTTGGGTTGCCCGGCCTCCCAATTTCTTTACATACACAGTCCATATAGGAAGGAGACTTATCATGCAAATCTCCAAGTGAAGCAAACAAAGGTGAGGTTGAAGAGTTTATCAGTCCAGTACCTGTAGTTCAACAGAATGCTATGAAGAAGGAAAAACAGAAGTAAGTAGAGTGTCCTGGTCTGGAAAAGACTACAGTTTATATACTTTAGGGTCAAAAGGTAGATAAAGGCAAAAAAGGGAAATGAAACTACCAGCACTGGCCTTAAAATTATCACTAAGCCATATTTCAGGCTGTTTCCAAAATGAGGTTTATAATTAGAGTTGAGAAGTGGACAGCTCTGAGTGAAGAGCAACTCAGATGCCATAGCAGGTGCATGTCACACACCTCTGTCATTAAGGTTGTTCTGAAATTTTGATGTTTCATTTAACACAATGTTCTTCATCTACATTATTATTTTTGGTATACTCAGTTTTCATTAAGGATGAGTTCTTCCTCTGATTATACGACATTCTTTCCATAATTAAAATCAACACACGCATTTCAAACATATTCTTACATTTATTATACAGGGGCCAAGAGCTTGTGGCATCCACATACAAACACGTTTTCCCTCTTGGCCAGCAGAGGCATTTTTCACAGACACCCTTTTCTGCCTGCCTGCAACATTCAAAGTCTCTTCTAACTCTGCCTCAACAACATCTTTGCTTGTTTTCACAAACATTGTGCATGGCAAGCACATAAGTAAGCTGTAATTTAATGATGAGAAGCATCCAGCTTTGCTATGAGTGACTTCCCCTTCTCCTCAGTCTTCCAGATGCCCACTACACACTCACTGTGAAACATGGTTTAACAGCTGCTTCCTCAAGCCTGATCAGTTTATGAAACCTTCACCGAACAAAAGCAGGGAGCAAGCTCAGTATCACAGAATGATAGGCACAGTCATGGTCTCAACAGTGATCTGGATAGCAAAGCCACTCTCATTCACTTCAAAAATCACATCACAGGTCTTAACTACACTACCATTATGGACTACTTTACTACTAATCCACGTTAGTTTCCAAAGTCAATTAGCATGATGGAAGAATACCTCTTCCTGTTGTGATAGTTTTTACTCCCTACACAAAGCCTAAATTAAGAGACACTTACATTCTAGTGGTAGCTACTTAACAGTTAGGGAACCCAAACAGTGAAGAGCTGAGCATAACATCTATTGCAGACAAGTTTTAGAACTGAGGAAAGCAATGTGCCAACAGCTGAGGCACTTGTGAAAGGGAGAGCTCAGGGAGACTCGCTTCCAAACAGCAACAGCGATGTTTCTGCATTTGAAGTACTGCGTTTGTAGGGCCTCCATCAAATTCTGCATCAGCTACTCCCCAACTTTTTTCCACCACAGACCTGACTTGGAGACTAAAAGTTACAAACACCTGCATATACAGGTATTCTCTAACCCCAGATTCTGGCACAGATACCATGCTACTCAGCCCTGCACCTAAAATCCACAACTAATAGTTTGAGATCCACTGCCCTGTGTATACCTCCCCAGTACTTCTCTAACAGCTGCTGCTTCACTGTCCTGTCCCATCCCATCACAGCTGCTACTCCACTACCAAGCCCAGGGAAAATTGTCAATCCATGTCACATCTTGTTTCTATAAACACCTGTCATAATCTCAGTTTTCCACAGCATTTCTTACAAGTTGCCCATAAAAAGTTTCTTAGTGTCATGTACATTGAACTATGAAAGTCAAGGAAAGGAATCACAGAAGCTTGTGGCTCAACCCCAACCCCAGTATTCCCACAAATTTCCACAGCCATCTCAAAATACATTTCTGCAGTATTTACTGATTTGGAATATGTCATGGATGTTGTACAGTTCAAAGAACTTTGAAGAAGTTCAAAGCTGTGACTGCTGAGATCAACAAAGTACTTCAAAAAAGAAGAGTTAAGCTTCATGGAGAAAGTGAATTTCAGGCCAGCATGGTTAATCTGATCTACAGTGTTCTTACAGTAAGTCTTCAAGGCAAAATATGCAAACATTTCTATGGATATGTGAGCCAAATCTATGAATGATAAACTAATTAAACTCCTATTTCTCCTCATCTAAGGCAAAGCAAAATTCCTTCCTTTGGAATAAGAATAAATCAACTTTGGATTATAAACAAAGTCACAGAAAGAGAGAAAGGTATTTTTAAAATATATTAACATTCCTTCCTCTCCAATTCAGGCAACACAAGTGTCAGACTTTTACATTTATTTATAAAGAGCTATAGACAGTAGAATAAAAATTACCCTCCAGTAGCTCCCTATTAAGGTATGCTTTTCATCAACCATATAAAACTATGTTCCTTCTTTTATTTTATTCTTCAACTGAATGAGAAAAAATAATACTAATAACTAAATATATATACTAAACTTAAAAATATCTAAAAGAACTAAGGCTACACTTCCATTTAATACTCAGAAGACAGAAAAGCACAATAAATCACAATATATTATTAACCTGGTTACAAAAAACCCTACTGTATTTGTGGAATATGAAAGACAGGAGAAGGGCAGAAACATTACTAAGGGTACTTTACAAAAAGACTGGGTGTCACCATCAGTTGTCATTGTAGCCCAGTAAGATCGTATCTGATCAGATTCTTTTTCTGGGCCAGGGTCTAGCAAAACAAGGTAAATCCTCTTTCACTCCAGTTCAGTATCGCAGTTTAATATGGCAAGAAACCACACCAATGGCTTCTTCGACTACTAATTCTTTCTACAGATATACATGTCTTGGGCAATATGATTGAACATTTTATCAGTGAATGAAACAAACACGTTTCCAAATCACTTTTTATTTCTTTCCTCAATTTCCTCCTTTTGTGACCAAGCCTCCATGTTGCTAAATCCACACACTGTCTCTTAGCACACAATTAAGTGGAAGAAAGCAGCTTTATCGTTATCACACAAATTGTCCATAAGGAGTAGACAATATTCCTTGAAATCTGCTTCCCTTCATTCTTTTTATGTCTATCCCTAAAATAAAAATCCATTAAAACTTAAAAATGTTATTAGCAGGAATATCCTATAGGAACTGCCAATAGAACTCACTCTTAAACCACCTTCTAACACACTATGTGACACAGACAAATAACATGCCTCATTTCTAAACCAATGGTCTACAATCATCTAATAGGGTTTTTTCATGTCTTTATCTAAAGGCTCATTCACATTCAAAATAAAGGCATGACACCTTGCAAAGAATACTTAGCACTCTTTACAGAGATTCAAACCTTCTCATAAGCCGCTGGCATTGTTCTTTTGAGTTCTGCATTTTTGTACTTGAAACATCAAATGACTGATCAACAGAAAATATTTTACCACAGAAATTTATTTTTTCTCTAATTGTTTAAAATGAGCCTACCATTTTGAAGTAAATCCATATCCTGAAATAGAAGATTTGAAGATATTGATTGCTCCTTTTTTAACTCGTAACAGAAGAATAATTTTCCTGTCTAAAAGACAGACACCATGTCCACAGTGAGACAATGCATCTTTGCAATCTATATATCACTTCATTGCTAAACCTACTTACACAAAATTTAAATTTAAAAGCACATTCCTGATTAAGAATAGAAGGATTTAGAAATGTAACATTAAATAAACATTTTTAAATTGCTCTGCTTACTCACTATGTATCTTCCTATCACCAAGAAAACATATATTTAGCATGTGCATAATTTTTAACAGCAAAGTGAAATACCCCCAAAAGTTAAAAAGAACTCGAACAAAGCTAACTAATTAATGTGAATGTTTTATGAATTAAAACCCCAGCAATTCTGTGTATGTAGCCATCCAACTCATATCAAAACAGGTATGTAGTATGTAGGAGCATCAAATATGGTACAAATCCAAAGGAGACTAATCAAATGAGATTCTGGATTATAACACAAGAGATTTCGTTTTGAAACATCTTTCACTGCTACCAAAAATCACACTCATCAGACACTCCTCCTCATATTCTAGAACTATTGCACAGCACCTTAGTACCTATACAAACTTCAAGAGACCACCTTCCACCATGTACTGGGAATCTACATTTCATTAAGCATACTAGAGATCACTGTTTAACCAGAAGAGTTGTGAGGATTTTAAAAAGGAGTCTATGATGCTATCACTTCAAAGATCTAATCAAAATGGCATATAAATCCATCTTGAATTTTTTAAGCAAAATTGGCACTTCTGGCTTCATGCTTTGGATGATTTGTCATTAAAAACGATTCTAAAAATAAACTAATGACAGGAAAACAAGGTGTAAGCTCTTCTTTCCTAAATGTGAAGCCAACCTGAGTTTGGTTAGAGAAACAGCAGCTTATTAGTACAAGCATGAGAAGTTCAGAAAAACATGTATGTGACTGGCAGTTCCTACCAGAGCTTCTATTTGCCTAATAAACTGGTCCCCAAGTCTCTCTAGAGCAGTAATTCCAGCTAGGTCATAGCATATCTGAATATACAATTTGATCAGTTTTGATAGCCCTTGAACTGATACAGCTTGACCTTTATACTCTTTGCCAAAAGCCACTAACAACCTTATGAACTTTCTTAAGCATTTAGTCTTGTCAAGATCTTAGCTGACAGCCCTTTTAACATCCAACATATGCAATGAGCTTTCCCAAGAAGATATTAATGCATAAGGAAAACATATGTAGATGAAAATTCAAAAGCACTTTTGTCAAGATTTTAGAGGGGCCATAGCAACATTTCTTCCCTAACAAAAAGAGGCTACTCCTACTCCTCTCCTACTCAAGCACACTGTTCTGGGTTTACCTGACTGATGTTTTTGTTATTGTTAATAATATGCTATTAATATGATCTTACTATCCTATTAAAATTGTTCCTATTGATGGAAATTATTATAATTAATATTTTGCCAAAGGGAGGAGAAAAATTAAGGCAAGACTGTCAGCCATACAGAGGATCCTTAAGTTTCCAAGACACAACTAGTTCTCAAAGATCCAGGAATGCTTCCTCCAAGATTTTTTATCTTCTAGCTACGCAACTTTCAGCAAGAACTGTTGCTCTGTTATGCATGTTAAAATGTTACGTTTAGCACCTTAAATTACTGATTCTGTGAAAACAAGAAAGAAATTTTATTTAATACAGATTCAAGGTAAAGTGGATTTTACTGCAGGTATTTATACTCTGTTTCTGTCAAAACACACTGTATTTTCTCCTTTACTCTTTACCATCCTGCAGTAGTCTGAAATGTAAGCATATGCCAGCTATTGCCACTGCTGCAGCATAGAGAGAAAACATTTTAATACAGAAGTGTAACAGTAAGTTCTAATCATTACTCCTAAAACAAAGTGATTACCACTTTGTAGATCACCGAGTAACTTCTGGACAGGAACAAAATAGAGGGAAAAGATAAAAATCCCCACCAGGAGACAATGTCCCTATACTCCTTAAAATTGGCTTTAATTTAAATTTTCAGTTAAAAATGCACTTCACAATTTCAATGACTTAGGCTCTCCAGAATATCCTCTACTGCACACATAATGCAAAAACCTACACCCTCAGCAAAGTTTATTAGAGGCAGCAAAACAAGTATTGATGCAGGGATGATTAAGTTACTATTGCAATGACACTGCTAAGGCAAAAACCAAGTTATAAATATGTATAAAAGTGAACAAGGGAAAACAGATCAAAGCAGAAGGGAAAAGAAACTCCTCCACATAGTAATGCATGAGGGCTATAAACTTCTCTGGTTTACTCTTTCAGAGTTTGGGGAGGTGGGGAAGGGGATTAGGTTTTTTCAAGGTTTTTGCGTGTTTGTTTTGTGGTTGGGTTTTTTATTTTTAATAAAAATACCTTCATTTGGTTTACTTGCTGTAATATAAAAAAGATTTCTTCATTAGGTAAAAACATTTCTGTGGGAAGGGGAAATATTTTATTCTTTTTTTTTGCAAATTGGCTTCCAAACTATCATGGAGTTTTACAAGAATTATTAAGAATAAAATTAAATAAAATATAGATAACTATCAAAAAGCTTTTAGACCTTTTTGAATATCCCATCACTAAAATTTTTATTCAGACTACAAGTAAATGTGTTCAGGTGTTTTACATCCTACTTCCATCTGAAGAATGTGAGAACAGAAAGACATTAGAAATATAAAATAAATGCTCATATTTGCATTCAGTTATAGGCACAATTATCAGTATTTTCATTCAAGGTCTGCCACTTCTGTGAAATTTACCAAGAAGAAACAGACAAGCTGCTTACTGTAACAAACAACTAAAAATAACATTTAACAGTTTATTTGTAAACTATGCCCTAGTTATACAAACACTAGGAGAATGACTAAGGAGTTTTTCTTTGAGGCCTGTACAAGATCTTCAGAAGTACTTAAAACTTATATGACGGTTACCTTAAGGACACACTGTACTCAGGATAAAAGATGCTTTTATACTGAACCCAGGTCCCTGTTTCTTCTTCTGTATTCTGATCTTCTATTATAAAAAGATTGAATGATGCAAACCTCCTTACAGACACTTGTTGAAGATGGACATCTTTCAAGTGCTTTTTCTTCAGAACCTTTGAAATGAAGAACAAATCACACATTAAGAATAAAACTTTCAAGAAAAGAACAAACACAGGCTTATTTAACTGAAGAGGCAAGCCTGGAATCAATCATAATATCTATGCTATCAGCTAACAGTTATCAATAACTAGTCCAAATATGTCAAGCCTAAGAAAAACAATACTGGTATTGATGGTAGTGATCAAGAGAATGAGTTACAAATTTATTATGTCTCAATAAATGTAAATCAAATACACTGTGTTCAGAAGTACACAAATTTGCTTTTTTAAATGCTCCAGCAAACCCGTGCCAGAGGCAAACTGGGTTCTCCCCTATCCCCCCACCATTACCACCACAATGAAAGTTTCACAGACCAAGCAGTGCCCTCACTAAGTACATGAAATGCAATGCCCCTACAGATGGAAGAACAAAAAGAAAAGATAGGGTATCTTCTGTAGAATTTAAGTGACTAAACCCAAAACATGACCCTCAGGTGCTAAATGACACGTTTACCAGGTAGACTACTTCCTAGTCTAGGAGTCTACTGTTGCACACTTGCAGAATTGCTCTCAAACTTGCCTGAGTTGAGAAACTTGCTACCTGTGTCAGGCCCCAGAATTTCCGATGCCACAACTGCTTATTCCCCCACCAGGTGCCTCATAAAAGGACTGATGCATTAGCCAATCTTTATGTGAGTCCCAAAACACACTGACAGCAACAAGTTCAGTACTAAGAGACTAAAGAATTCAAGACAGTGACTGAGACAAAATAAGCTGTTTCATGGTTTAAATGATTAAGACACTTGTTCAGTAAAGTGAAAACAGGGGCTCTGTGCCCTGCACAGTCCACTGCACTCAGCCATCTTTGGGAGTGAGGTATCAACCCTTTCATACAGGAAAACTCAGCACCCAGCCTGTTTGAACTGTATCTTGCACAGAAGACAATCAGTTTTTCCCTGCCAGACAAAAAAAGGCTTATTCTTCAGGTCAGGGCTTATTCTTCAGATATGGAAGAAGAGATAGAATCACAGAATGGTTAGGGTTGGAAGGGGCCTTAAAGATCATGTAGTTCCAACACCCTCGTCATGGGCAGGGATGGCCAGGGTTTAACTTCTTTCTCCTAACACTGGACAGAATACATAAATGATTACTATTGCCTTTTTATAAGCAAGATGCCTATGCAGTCCACAATGAGAAAAAAAAAAAAGAGCAGAAAATAAACTCATCCCTATAAATAGCTCCACTGAGTAGGACAGTGCCGCAATTTACAGGGTTTTGCCGACCAAAGATCAATCTGAAGTCAAATGAGAAACAGCTCTCCAAAATTATGAAACAGAAGCTTTGCATACAGGATGCATACAGCAAAATAACAGGTCAGTGATTTTTTTTTGGCTGCACCCAACCTTTGTCAACATGCTTTAACTGGAAATGTAGTCACATTTAACAGCCTTACAATTTGGTACCATGACCTACTATTTTGCAGGATACTCGGAAATATTACATATGTGAGCAGAGCAACTGTATTTGCTATGCTGTTAGTTTCTAACAGCAGGTCTGATGCATCAGGCTTACTGCTCTTGGATCTGTTTTCATCTATTCAGCATACAAAAGGCATAAGCATTTTCATCAAAGCATTAAAAGTGCCTGTGTGCTCTCCACACTATTTCTTCTACTTCTGTTACACATAAGAAAAATACACGAGGGAAACTGCAAAAATACCAAAACAGGAGAACTTGAGGAGCAGGCTGAAAATCATCACACAATAGTGGCATGTCTGGAAACAAAACAGACCGTTTTGACAACTAAAGAAAACTACCAAGGCATAATTTTCAGTAAAGAGCGTCGTTTGGGGCTTTTTAAAAGCAAAAACCACAGGGGAGGGGGTAACAACACTTTCCTGTTTTCAGTTTTTTGTTCTACAGACACATCTTCTAGCTCTGCAAAATTAACTCTCTGGCTTAGCAGAAAATCTGATGAGCATTTGAGAGCTCATTTCTCCCATACCTTCAAATTAAAATCGAGTGGTCTAAGATCTGAAAATTAGGTTGGATCTTTTAAAAACCTGTATATAAGTGAGAAAAAACAGCACAAAGGAACAATATGTTACATTATTTATACCTAACTCTGTGTATTTACATAAGGATCAAAGTGTTTTTTTAACTACAGTCAGTTCCTAAAAGCATCACCCTTGTGTTACAAGCTATAAAGATATGCTGCTGCTACAGTATAATCCACTGATGAAAAACAACAGGTGACAAACCTATCTAAACTCATAATAATGTTTTGCAGAAATGATGATGCCCTTCCAATCATGCTCTTCCAATGAAGGTGAAGCTCTCTATCACCCTGCAAGCTGCCACTATAAATGAACATGTCTCAGAGATTTATAAAACCAGTAGCTGGTTTTAGAGAGCAGGCTAAAGACTTCTCAGCAGGCTAGACACAGTTCTTGGTTTTAGTGATGGCAAAGAGAAAGAACAGTGATAGAGAAGAAATCACCAGACACCACTGTTCTTTGGTTGGTACTTATGGCCTCTGTTTCCTCCCTCAGTAACTTTCAGCTACATTTCTCCACATATTTTTCTTTTAAAAAACTCCAGAAGCCTTGTTTCACTCTTTCCAAGATCTTTTGGTACAGAAAGGCCCTGTCTTCGGCACAAGACCTTTACAGGTGTACACAAGTGTTAGAATCATAGAATAGTTAGGGCTGGAAAGGACCTTAAGATCATCAAGTTCCAATCCCCTTGTCATGGGCAGGGCCACCTCACATTAAACCATGTCACCAACATGGCCTTGAACACCGCCAGGGATGGAGCATTCACAAGTTCCCTGGGCAACCCATTCCAGTGCCTCACCACCCTAACAGTGTTGAGCTTGTACGTGGGTTATACATATAAATATTACCTAAGTAAATAATGTTTTTGGTTCTGTAATGATAGATTACAGAAGTCTTGTATAGATTATAGAATTCTCTTCCAAAAATTAGGCTCCAAAAATTAGAAAAAAACCACCAAGAACAACTACAAAAACCCATGCAAACTCACACTTTTAGCCTTGCAATTTTCCCCTCTAATTTGCGTTTTCTTTCCTTTCTAACTTCACTTAGCAATATAGAATTCTAAGACAATTCTTCACTAACACAGAGAACATTAAAAAAACAAGTATCATGAAACTGTCTCGTTTTAGAAAGATTGCAGTAACACATTATCACAGATCAAAACCGCAGGGCCCTCAGCATTTAAACGCAATATTAGGCCCATTTTTTTGTACTCCCTATAAAACTTAATTGATTCCTCTTAAAACAATCAAACAAAGCAACCAACCACTCAGAGGATGGCAATCACCTGAATTTCCCTGTATTTATTTGTGTATCTCGTTGCATATGGCCTAGCTGCTTTGAAAGCCAAATTCAGTGACAGCTGATGGTCTACAAACCTCTGTCCAGTTCCATGGCACTGACTGTAACGTGGTATGTTGTACAGGCAAGAAAGTTTCTACATAGTCGGTCAAACCATCTCTAAATATCATCAGTAGAACTGTGCAGTATTTATTTCTACAAACAGTTTATTTACCAAATTGTTTTATGCAAATTGAAACAATTTACAAACTCAAGACTAACAAAAACATGGAAAAAGATCTGGTGCACCGGTACCCATCACAGAGAGAGGAGTGGGAAGAGAACAAAAACGATTTTAGAAGTTTCTCTGTTCTGCCTTGCCCTCACTTTAGCTTTTTCATTTCTGGTGAATTGGAAACATTTGGTGAACATTAGCAGGTGAGCAAGACTTATGAGAGCAAGAGGAAGGTAATAGGCAGGATAAATATGTAAGTTTACAGATTTCACCACAGTTTTCATATAACTTTCTCTACAGAGCAATTTAATTTATGCCCATTCCTCTAACTTCTCTGCCAAAAACTACTGGCTGGATAATGCCATCAGTTGCATAGACTGGCAGGGCCCAAAACTCAGCCTTCGAGAACTTATCCCAGTCATTTGTAAGTGCACACTACACATGTAACTTAACTTAGTATTGGAGTTTTTTAATGCAAAATCATTTTCTTTGACTCTGACAAGCTAAGTTTAAAACTATTGTCAAACTTTAAACTCCATACATACATAAAACATTTTATTGATAAAGAACTCATAGGTAATTATGCAAACCTCTGGTTCTTTATGCTAGCTTCACAGGATACCTGACAAAAAGGCTTTTTTTCTTAATTAAATCAGAGAGCACACATTCAAGCATCCTCACCATGGCGAATCAATTTGTGCACACACTGAATGAAAGCAAATTCAATATATAAACACACCATGGAACTGATTTCACGTAAGGTGTTATTATCAGCAGTATGAAAAGCATTTTTAAAAGCACTGTAAGAAACACTTTGACGGTGCTCCTTTAAAGATGGATATAAAGGAAGGTTGATACCTTTTTCCAATCCATAGATAGATCTGAGCATCACTGCAGTAAGGAGTGCAGAACTGATTTTTTACTTCAGATGCACCAGTAAGATTAAATTGATCCTTGCTCATCATACCATACAAAAATCAACAGAAAAGCTAAAGAACACGGAAAACCCCAGGGAATCTGCAGAGGAAAAGGCCGCAGATACATGTATTTTGAGGAAGAAATGGAAGCCCTGTGATGAAAAGTTCCTTATGATTTTAAGAGAGAGGGTTATGCCAAAGGCAGTATGCTCAAAAGGCGCTAACAGATAGCATAGCCGCAGAAGGCAGCTTACATAGTCTGCTAGAACGGAAACCTACAAAACCAAACCTGATACTCCTATGAGAAACTTTGACATTTCGTGCTTTAAAGTATAATAAACAAGAAGTTTGACCAGGGAGTTTACAAACCAAAGCACACACAAAGAGAAATGCAGCATTAACCTCCTCATGCCTCCCACATGGTTATCTGGCCGCAGTCATGCGGGGCTCCCATGGGCAGTTCCAGGCTTCCACTTAAAACAAAACTGAACATGTAAGTTAGGACCGTAAATATCACATCCAGTAGCAATAACAACTAATGAAACTGATTCAGGTTTTCCACAGAATCCCACACTGGTTTGGTTTAGAAGGGATCTTAAAGATCCAATTCCAAAACCCCCTGCCACAGACAGGGACACCTTCCACTAGACCAGATTGCTCCAAGCACCATCCAACTTGAACACTGCCAGGGATGGGGCAGCCACAACTTCTCTGGGCACCCTGTGCCAGGGCGTCACTAACCTCATAGTTTTTAAGCCCTTTATGCACACGTTCATCAGCAGAGAAATCCTTTCCCACCTCACACCACCCCTGAAAGACCCAGAAAATAAGGCCAACAAGCTACTGCTGCCTTGCAGCACAGGTGTACCCACTTGCTACTTCTGTTTAAGGCACACTTTAGAAAGCCGTGTGCGTGTACATACATTTATACGTTTTATTCTTATTACTATTATTTCAGGAAGCGTACTGTAAGCTCTTCTGCAAGCCCCAGCAGGAAGCGTACTGTAAGCTCTTCTGCAAGCCCCAGCTCGCTGCTCCTCGCCATCCCCCGTGAGAAGTGCAGGCAGCTCTCCGCAGCTCAGCTTTCCACACGCTTCCACTGCTGGGAGCATTCCGTGCCGCTCCCCGGCACCGCCTTCCCAGCCCGGGGCAGAGCCCGGCCCTTCAACCGCTCCAAGCCACGACCACCCAGCGCGGAGGAACGGGTGGGAACACGAACGGCCCCTGGCCCAAAGCGACGCCAGCAGCCGCTCTTCCCTCCGGCAGCGCCACCCGCCATCCCCTACCGGGATCCGCGGGCTCCCCCTACCTGTCCGAGCAGCCGCCAGCGGGCTCTCGCCGCTCCCGCGCCGCTCACCGCGCACCGGCCCGCGGCGGGGCGGCTCGGCTCGGCGGCAGGCTCGGCCATGCGGCGGCAGGAGGGCTCAGACCCCCTTTCGCTCTGCATTGGCCAGCGGGGACTTGCCGCTGAGACTCCAGCAGCTGCCAGGGCCGGCCGGGCTAGGGATGCAGGAGAAGGAAGAGGGTGGCCATCTTTGTTAAGGGCAGCGCTGGGAAGACGTGCTGCCGCGATACGCCCAGCTCTTTAGGCGCCCCGGAGAGGCAGGAGCGCGCCTCATCGTTGGCCGCCTGTGGCCTCAGCGCCAGGGGACGAAACGGTATCTGAAACGGGAGTGACTTGAAGCCACGTCAGGGACGGCGCTAGCCCTCCCGGTGTGCGGCCGGCCGCTGCGGCTGATTGAAGCCTCCGCCGCCGTCTTGGCTTCGGGCAGTCCAGCGAGGCAGCCGGGCGCTGCTCCTGTCGCCTTCCATCTTACCGTGGCCAAGAGGCGTCGGAGAGAGCGCGGTCCGGCCCCGCCGCGGCGGTGAGGGGTGGTGGGAAGAGCTGGTGGGGAGCGGGACGGGGAAAATGACCTCGGGCGGTGAACATGGAGGGTCTGCAAACCTGTAAGCGTCCCTGCCAGGAAGGGAGGTTAGCTCTTACTGTCAAGTTACTTCTTGAGATAAAGTGATTTTATTGTATGATAGTTATAAAGGGGGGACAACTTACCAGAAAAACTCCCCAAAGCTACTTGGCTTTGGTTCTTCAGCATTTAAACGTAAACATTTGCACCTTCCCTTCTCTCATTGATAGTTTTCACTGGAGTTAAACTTTAAAGCGCCAGGAACCACGTTTTGCAGTAACACTGTAGTTAATATGCAGGCTAAACTGTGTACCACTTGTTAAACTAAGATTTAACTGTTTCTTCTCAACTGATACACCTAATGAATCAGTTTCACTGCTTTGAAAGAGGGACAGTTTTATCTGCAGTTTACGTTAATGTATATTTCACGCATTGCAAATGATCAGCAATTTACGATGTTTGGAAATTTCAGGCTATCAAGAAATGAAGGTTAGGACATCGTGTGTTGGACTGCGAAATCTTCTCCAAGGGCTGAGCTACAGTGTCAGATACTACTCTAAGCGTAGCTGTCTTCAAACAGTATGTTTTTATAGTAAAATAAAACCAAAACAATGCTGCATCCTGGACTGTTCAGGAAGTACATGCATGCACAGGACTCTGCCACCTGGAAGCATCCTGCCGTGGAGATGCTTTTCCTGCAAGGTACGCTGATTAAGTATGGATTTAAGGTCAACAACCACCTTGGCACATCTGTTCAGGAAGCCTCTCATGTTTTCCAAATGTGGAGGAAACACATTTTTCCTGAAGAGTTTGGAGCAGGGGGATAAATACTAAGATTTCACTTATGTTCAAAGATCTGTGCAATTATTCAACTGGCGTGTACTGTTTTGATAGAAAGCTGCATTTTGGTTGAATTTCCTCCTGTAGTGATTTTTTAAAAATTGGCATATTCCAGAAGAATTCAGATAAAGTGTCAGGAGATAGCTGCAGGGAGAAGTAACCTAGGATAGAGGCAAAGCATCCAAACTGATGACACCAGACATAAACCATTGTGAGCTCACTCAAAACCCCTTGACTTTTGACGTGCTGACCAGTAAGTCATGGTTTGCACCATGTTAAATATTAAAATACGCTATTGACTTCTCATAATTCTATTCACATGTGATAAATGATACTTTTAAAGGTACTTGGATTTATTTCTGAAAGTAAATATTGTGTACATGAAGGGCAGTGTATTGTGCACAGTTAGAAAATAGAATGAAATCATTTCAGCCTTTCTGTTCTTGTGTTTCTAATACAGAGTGTGCTGAATGAGTCCTCAAAGTTTACTGCAGTATCACAGCCTGTAAACCTATTTATTTGCATAATGCATAAGTACTGTTTAAAAAGATTGCTGTTTTGGTTTCTCTTAAACATGTTTTCAGATGGATGCATGGTTGTTATAAAATTGTTTCAAGTTGACAGTGTTTCTGCAGACGTGACGTAAAGATCATCTTGTTGTAACCCTCTTATTTCTAACCATAATGTAAACAGTTCCTAAGTCTGTGTCTAAAATGGAACCAAATGTTTCGAGGAGAACATAGGAAGCCTTGATGGATGAGAATGTGTAGTTCTGTTTATTCCTTGGCAGTTTGCTAATGCAGTTACAAATACTGGACTATGACACTGGTTCCAGGATACAAAGAGGGTTTTTTTTTTTCACCTGAAAGGAAGTTGTGCCTGTTAACTTTGGAGCAAATATTTTCAAACATTGTCACTGATATACTTTGCTATCCTCAAAATCTTTCCAGATTAAATATCCAGAAACCTCATTCAGCTTAGGAAGTTCCTGAGCTAAAATCATTGAATGCTGGGGGAATACCTGTTGGGGAATATCATCTGGGCTTGTCACATTCTTACGCTTTCCTAAATATGAATGGTGTGGTTTAAATTCATAGGGAGCAGGTAGTTTCTCCTCTTTTCAAAGTGTACTCGTAACACTGATGTTTTAGATCTCTTGCCTCTGTGAAGACAAACCAGGAACAAACCAATGGTACTTGATGAAAAGTGAGGATGAGGTAAAAGTGTGGCCTATTTTTTAAGTTTAGACACATTCACGTAATACCTTGAATATTATAAAATGCTGCTTTTTGTGATCTGTGCAGTGTTATGTGCTGTAATACATGTTATTGAGCTTATTAATTGAACAAATGAGGTTTTACAGCAAGCAAAAAGAAGTAACATTGTAGCAATTTTAACGCATTTTTTTACATTTTTGTAAGAGAAGACAGTGTTGTCTTCATAGATTGTGGAAAACGAGATCCTTAAGCTCATTCCTGATAAAATTGTTGCAGAACCCATATAATTTCATTGCTTCATTCTACACCTGGTGAACATTTATGCTAACACTTCTGGGGAGGTGGAGCAAGAACCTGAACAAGCTGCCAGGACTCCTAGGTACAGGAACAGAGGTGTGGGTTGCATTGTTGTCTAGGAAAGAAAATGATGCTCCTCGTGACAGAAAGACTATGAGAAAACAGCTCTGAAGAAGGAAAAATAATAGAATTCCACAAAAAAATCAACTATAACCTAGTTTTAGAACAAGAAGAAACATATTAACATACAGTCAACTAAGATCATACATTGAGAGTAGCCTGAATTTTGAAGAGAATACCTCAATAAATATGTGAAGTAAATCACTTGACAATCACAGAGTGGTTTGCAAGAGACTTTAAGTATCATCTAGTTCTAACCCCCTGCCATGGACACAGCTTCCCCTAGACCAGGTTACTCAAGGCCCCCGTTCAACCTGGCCTCGAACACTAAAAGATCAGGAAGATCTTACTGCAACTGTGGTTTTTAATGGCACATACTATTATAATGATGCAAAGTTGGTTTGGGGTCTGTAGCTCAGGAAATACTATTGTTGCTTCAGTATATTGGAGTACAGAGTGCTGGCTTGTAGCCGTTGTTTTGTTTCCTTATTAGCAGGAAGGAACAAAAATCCCTTCCAAAAGGAAGCAAAATGCATCCCTAACAACATCAGGCCTTTCATACAAGAACCTTCTGAAATCAGAGCAGGAAAACTGGAATGACATTTCAGCAAGATACAAAGCTATGACAAAGAGAATCAAGGAAAAATTAGAAGAGTTACACGATAAGTATACGTTCAATCTGGAAAGTCCACGGGTAAGTGGCAAAAAAAAAGAAACTTGTATTGAGTACAAATAAAAAGCAGTGAAGCCATTCTTGCTGTAAAATGCTGGTTTACTGATTATTTTTTGTAGTTTTGAATGTTTCAATATTTGTGGATAGTAACAGCATGTGTTTAGAACATGGTAGTGTAGTTACCTTAATTTCTGCATAAGCCAAAGCAAGTAAAGATACAATAATCATTAACTTTCTGATAAAGAATACAAGACATTTTAATTTACAAGAGCAATTTCAGGTGATTTGAGCCTTTTGTTGAATTTAGAGGAGGTATAAGTAGCTTAAGTACCCTAACTTTGAAAGAACCTTTCTGATGCATGCAATTCCTACTTTAGTATCAAATATATATGCTATATTTTGTCATACGTGTAAGTTACAAGTATGTTGAATATAGGGATTCTAAGGAAATAGTCAAACTATGCGTTGGACTTGAAACATGTTTGGTTTATATTGAACAGATCAGGTTTGGAGAGAATGTGTACTTTGAAGAGAATGGCTGCATATTTCTTTCAAAAGCAGATGATGGTAAGGGATTTCTCTTCCTAACATGGCACAATTGTTAAAAATACTGTATGCATCACTTAATGTACTTTTCTGACATGAAAGGTTAATTGCTGTGTTTCTTAAATAACTAAAGAAAACTACTTTTACAAAATTCTGTCATGAGTGATTAATAGCTCTCAAATTACAAATCCAAAAAGGTGAGGTGAAAACAGTTAGTGAATAGGATATAATAATACTAAGGCAAGTTTCTGGAGAAGAAAGAGAGAAGCAATTTTTTTTCAGAGCCCTAAATTAACGTTTGGAAAACATGAAAAGCACATTGATGCTTTTTTATTCCTGAGGGAGTGGGAAAAGATTTTACTAATTGTGTTTAGTAAAAACAACTGTGCTTTAGGTATTTGAACTTTAAAATTTAACACATTTCCTAGAAGCCAAGATCTACACTTTTGAAATATTTTAAATAATAAGTACAAGACTTTATTTTTCCCCCCCTGGAACTGATATTTGTTTTATTTTTACAAAGTGCATTTGTCAGTATCTTGCCAGACAAATATTTGGTGTTAATAAATTACAGGAATATGCCTGTGAACACTGCTGACAGACTTGCTCTAAATACAGGCATTAATAATCACTGTTAATTTTGACAGTGCCTTAATTACAGGATTTCTTTGCTATCTCTATTTTTAAATGTAGTAGATGAAGAAAATGCTGACATTGTATTCAATACTGAAGATCTTGGCTTTTCTGATGCCTTTATTCAACGTATCAGAATTTCACCAGATCAGACATACATGGCCATCAGCTTAAAAAGTGAAAACTCTGAAGAGGCAACCTGCGTTGTTATGAAACTTGGTCATTTTCCTGTTGTGGAAAAAGTCATTCCAAGTGTATTTAGTTTTGGTAAGTTGTTTATAAATATCCTGTGGATCACACCAGCTTTCAAAGCAACATTTTTGGCAATCTACAAATAATAATAAAATATTTTTAAGAAATAAGGAAGCAACATTTTTACATTTAATCATTACAGCTGTATAATTTTTTTATTTACAGTTTCTTCCACAATGCAGAGTTTTAAGTTATCTGATGTAGATGGCAGTGACTGCTTTCATGATACAGTTTTTTCCTCACTGTAAAAGCAAGCATTTATAAATGTTGAACAGTCATGCATATCTGGGCTTTTTAATTTCATAGAATGGTATTTCATTCAATACGCTTCTTTAAGAACTACTGACATTAACTGTTTACACTATAAAGATCCTTGTGCGGAATGTTCTAGTTATTAAAGTCTTACAGCTACAACTATAGCTACTGTTGACAGCTGTAGGCACTTGACTTCACTGAAAAGCGTGCCCATGGTACCTTACGATTAAGTAGTGGCTGGAATTTCAACTGGACCCTAGGATGTGGGTCACAATTCATCACCCAATGAAGTAGATTCTTTAAGAATAGATAACAGAGCTTTACATTGCTTTTAAATAAGCAGAGGTAAACTGAAGTGAAAGGAGAATCTTTCCTTTTTTATAGTATAGAATCACAGATTTTTTGGGGTTGGAGGGGACCTTAAAGATTATCTAGTTCCAGGCCCCCCTGTTGTGGGGAGGCTGGACCCCCCCCACCCCATGTTAAAAAATATAGAAAAGCGTACAATAGTATGTATACAATGTTCCACATCATGTATTTTAGATTATATTATTAAATGTCATTAAGTAAAAGTAATGCAAGACAAAAATATCTAGGTAAAACTTCCTAGTTACAAAAATAAAGACTAACAAGAATTTAATGTTGTGTTTGCACAATTGAAATTTATAATGCCTGTTAAAAACCAGGCCTGCAAATTTGCCAGTGACATTTTTCACTATACTTGATTTGAACATCTAGCTAGGTTTGTCCAGAAGAATCAGTATATTCATAAACTAACTCCCTGTTACGTACGTAGGTGTGTCAGCTTATGGCAGGTAGTAAGTGTAGAAAAAAATGACTATCAGAATCATAGAGATTACACTCTTTTTGTCGATGTATTCAGGTGTGAGATACATGAAATACAGAGCTCCCTCAGTCATAAGCAAGAGAATTTGCATTTGCAGTATTGCGTATTGCATGATACACAATAGCAGGCAGACAAATGAAAGTGCTTGAAAATTTACATCTGTGATATGTAAATGGTAGGCTATAGAAAAACTTTAATCTCCCTCGTCTTCTTAGTGAACCTTTCAGCTTCCTGTGCAATTTGGAGCCACAGTGCTGTTCAGAGAGCAAACTGTTTGCATTACTTCAGTGTGGTACTTCCTCCAGTTCTGTATCAAAAATCAGTATTTATGCCTAAGACAGCCAGCATACAATAACTTTTTAAAGCATACGTATTAAACATCCTTCTGGTGACTTTAGGACTGGAGATAGCAATAATTTGGCTGGATCAATCAGATTACTAAATAGCAAGGTTCCTGTATTTATATGTTTCTAATGTTAGTGAACACATGTACACACATAGAAAACTGGAGAATTTTTATTTCAGCAGTACCCATGGGGCACGTGCATCATCTCTTTTCTCTAAATAGTTTGTATGCAGTCACATGCAGTGGTTCAGAGCTCATACTCCCTTTATTATCTTGCTGACTCCATGTAAGCCTCTGTTCCTCTGCTGAGTTTTAAACAGCCACACCTTCTATTTTCCTGTTACCTCCAGAACCCCCACAGGGTCAAGAGGTTGAGAGCTTCCTCTTCCTGGACCCTGGAACATGGTCCTCTGCCTTTATCTATTTGTTTATTTTTCCAAATGAGATTCTTGTTCTGTGGGATTCAGAGAAAACATGGAAAAATATTTTTGTGGCTTACCCCAGCCTCTGGGATATAGAAGTGCTGTCCTCCATTAGATGTCAGCTGTAGCCCACCTATTTTAACACTGGGTCCAGTGTTCATGGAGCTCCATTTTCTCTCAGTAATTGTATATACTGTTCCAAATTTGATATGCATTTGTCTTGTTTTCCAGAATGGGCTGCAAATGATGTTCTGTATTACACAAGTCAGAAGAACCTTAAATGCCAGAACGTGTTTATGACCACTTTCACTAATCAGAAACATACTAAGTTAGTTTATACAGAACAAGATGCAAGGTAATACTTATGTAAAATGTAACAAATCCTTCATGTATTCTAGAGTACCTTATCTGTAAAATATAACTGGTTTGGAAAGCATAGTCTTTCATATCATACTCCAAATAGTAAAAGGCATTTTTAACTTGAGTCCTGCTGTCAGTATTGCCATATGTAGTCTGAGAACGTGCTCTGTTTTCCTCTTGATATGTGATCAACAGAGATTTAACTTTCCTCTCTTACCTCATGAGTTCAGCTGAGTTTATAAATGTCAAGGTCAGTTTCAGGTCAGGTTGTCCTTTAATGAATGTGTGACAGTTTCATACAGGGTAAATCAGACTGTGGATTTCATTTTGTTTTCTCTGCTATTGATGTCTGATATGTCTTTAAAAAAAAAACCATAGAAGTTCAGGCTAATCCTTGCTCTGGGTAATGGATGAGCAAAATCATTACAGCATTCCCAGAGACAGAACTATTGTTGACTGAATACCCTCTCAATAACCTTTCTTGAAGCAGTGGTTTAGGAAGACAAGAAGGCTCTAGCTAAATTGAGGGCAGAACTAGTTTTTCAACTATGCAGCATGTGGTCGATTTATACAACATTCCATAAATGTTTGTGATTATTCGTAATTCAAGTTACATAATAAAGAAATTTCTATTATATGTTCCTCTAAAAAAAACAGGAAAAATAAAAAATCTGCAGTTGAGATGGAGTAAATAAGATCCTTTTGTTCCAGCGGCAGTTGATGCATACTTTTGGAAAATCAAATTGCACTGACCTGACACTTCCCCACAGGGAAACTGTTGCCATAATTCTGAAGGTCACAGTCATTACAGTAAATCTTCTAGAAACTTACTCTAAAGGTTCATGTGCTATTGCAGCTCATAACTGAAGTTACTTGTTCATTGGAGATGGCAAGACATTCCTTTGTATGGACACTGAGCAGTTCCATTCTACATCTGACCAGCTCTTTTAGGTGCAATCAAATCATTTTTGATTTCTTGACTTCTTTGAAAAAAGCTACAAAGACAGAAAAAATGAAAGTAATATCAAGGTCAGAGTCCTTGGGGAGAAGTGTAACCCGCATTTCAGTTTGACTCTCTCTGAGGTAAGGTCAGCAGAGCTGAACTGTTGGAATCTCTACTGCATGCAGTACTGCACTCTTGCCAAATTCATGTGTATTAGAGAGGCAGGAGGCTGATTCCTTGCAGACTTTAGATCCCCTGCTGTGCCTGTCCTCCTTAAGATGTCAAGAGGGTGCAATTAGAAAAAACAATAGTACCAAAAAAACTGGAGTTCCTCCACCTGCAAATAATTAAAGGCACTGAAAATGCTGTGTATAGCATCCTTTTCCTTCACCAGTCAAATTTATTTTGAAGTCTAGAGGGATCATTATTGCAGTCATGTATCTGATCTGTATTAATGCAGATTACAGTACTCAACCCTGCAATTTCTTGATGAAATCCTCTGGATCTTTGTGTTGTACAGTTTTGCTTTTATGGACATCCAGTCTTAAAGATTCAAAATGGCAAAGAAACTGCTGTGTCTCAAGATGGGATGTTCCAGTTAATTTGGATGACTCATAAAGAATTGATTGTGAATTTTAGCCTGAATTTGTATACTATTAACATCCAGCCACTGGTTATAATCCTGTTTTCTGTTTCTAGATTTTATAAGCATTTAAATCAGTAGATACTTCCTAGTTTCTTACATAGTTCCAAATCTAGTTCCTAGCTTCCAGCTTTATCAGTGCAACCTGCCTGTCTTGTCTCGTATAGGCCTCTGTACTTCTTTTTAAGATAGTCCTTTTTGTCTTACTCACTTCAGACAAATTTAGGGCAGTAACACTGAGGCTTTTTATCAACTTATAATAGCTCTTATTTGTTATTGCTGTTCCCACAATATCTTTTATTAATTTGAATTTAATAATCCATTACTACTCAAAAAAGGTGTTACAAGCTCAATGAAAAGTTCTGTGTTGTGCCTGAATTTTAAAGCCTAAATACATCAATGAGCTTCCAATCTTATCTCAGTAATGCAAATACTTGGATTCAGTTGGGCAGCAACTGATCTGCTTTCTTGTCATATTTGTGGGGTTTTGAATCCCAGGATAGCAGGAGAGTTTCTCCAGCAGGAGTGGGTTTGGGAACCAGGTAGTTTGGAATTTCTTCAGCCTCTTCGCAGGCATGCCTTTTTCACCTTGCAGATGGAAGCCCATGATTCTGAAACAACTGATCTATTTTTATAATACTAATCAAGTTTAAGCTTTTTTTTCTAAAAAAATAATTATTCCTTATAGGTTTTTTGTGGACATACATTGCACAAAAGACAGGCGTTTTCTCACTATCAACAGCAACAGCAAGACCACCTCAGAAGTTTGGCTGGTTGACTGTAGGCATCCTTTTAAGTCACCTGCTCTTGTACAAGCACGAACAAAAGGGGTCATTTACCACATTGAACACAGAAATGACGAGTTATATGTTCTTACTACATATGGAGAACCTGCAGAATATAAGGTAGTTTTAATCGATAATAAGATTCCTTCAGGTAACTGTTGCAGATCATATAGAAATAGTAAAGCTGGCTTTTAATTCTGTACTTCATAGCTTATTGAAATAATTTAAGAGAATTACACTGAAAGACTGATAGAAGTACATGGACTCTTACCTGCTGCATGGCAGTTTGATTCTGACTCTTACCTGCTGCATGCCAGTTTGATTCTGACTCCTTTGGCAATATCAACAAATGAATATGCTTTAACAGTCGTTTCTCCTATATTAAAATTTAAGTTGGCTATCTAAGTCGATGTAACCAAACCACCTGCAGTTCTGGCCATGCTGAAAGCACTTACTACATTAAAATTTCCTACAGATTAACCTATGAGAACTGAACTTTTCTGAATGTTACTGAATTGTTCTTCCATTTTGCCCAAGTAAAGAGAGTTTCAAAGCCTCCAGTTTTAGTCAGGCAAAACCCCCCAGTACAAACATAAATTTTTGCAATAAAGATGTTGCATGAGTTCATTTACATGTCTGTACATCTTATTCATAACTCTTAACTACATCTTGGTTTTATAGCTGATGAAGGCACCGGTAGCTGCCAGTGGCAAGGAGAACTGGCAGTTGGTTTATGCACTGGAAAAGAAAACCAAGCTAGTAGATTTGGAGATGTTCAGTGATCACTGTATTATGTTCCTGAAGAATGCCGGTCATCTTTACTTAAATGTGATTTCTTTTGTTTCACATTCAGTTCAGTCAATAAAGGTAAGTTTTAACACTATTATTTTTATTTTTTTTTTAACATAACAATATGATGAAAGCAAAGATAAATTCCAAGAGTAGAAATTGTTTGGAAACTGTAATACTGCGAAGTATTATGCCTACTGTATATTACCTGTGGCTGTTTTTCATGTGGTGGCTTACTGCAGCACTTAGAAAGTTAGGGAGCACCTATTCTATGAGACAGCCTTCAGCTTATTACAGTCAAGCTTTTTACAATACAGCTGATTTCTAATGTAAAATAGGACTTGATTCCCTAAACACTCCACTTAGTTTTACTGGGCCTATTTTTGGTTACATTCATCAGCATAAGCAAGGAAATAAGCCTGGCCCTCCCACGGAAGAAACATTAGAACATTCCAAAGACAAGTACGGACACTGTTCTGTAATGAGTGGGAAGAGTTGATGCTGCAGTAGAATTTGTGCAAAGTATTGCTTCCTTTCTCTAGTTGTTGCTAAATGCTTATGGATTAAAACCAGAATGACTCAATTCAAACCCATAATTTCTGGAGGCCGTTCAGGCGAAATACTTGATTGATTTGTTTGCCTGAAAAATACAATCTGAACTACTCCCAAGTTTATTGTGACAAACTACCAATGCTGCATTCTATAGAACTGCTACAGAAAAAGGTTTTCAACAAAGTGCACTGTATGCTCTCGAAAACCTTCATTGTTGAATATGGTCATAGTTGATTTATTCAGAAAGGGTCTGCAGTTACTCTGGAGAACTTGGACTTCTGCTGCCATTTCAGATGTCACTAGCAACCCAACCCAAGTAGTAGTCTGGCAGAGGGTTTGACTATGTCCCTGCGGCTCTCAAAGAATGAATTTTGATTTCTTTTATTCTTAGCAGAGTTAAAAATCTTAAATATAATAACAGTAAGTGTCTGAAGGTGAACGTGCCAGGAAAAGGTTTTGTTCTTCAACAATGGCTGGCACTAGGAACAAAGTTAAGAGGCAGGGGTTTTCAGTGGCTTAGCATTACTGAGCTAACTCACAGCAAAGGCATAACAACTGACATGGACTTGGCTGTATAACATGTTGAAGTAGAACTGAAAAATCAGGGGAAATAGGATCTAAAAAATAAAAACCATGCAGAATCATTTCAAAGAATGTTTTAATAAAAAAAAAATCTGCACTAATGCCCATTTGAAACTGAACTTGGATTTATTTTTCTATTTTTTTTTCTATTTCATTGTGCAGCTTTATCCCATGGCCTTAAGGAAAAAGCTTGCCAAAGCCTTTCAGTTTTTGACTGTTTCATTACTGAGCTTAAAAAAAATACTTATTGTGCTACAGACAAGTGGAAAATATTCAGAATCTTTTTCTCTGAAGGACACACTAGGCAAAATTGTAAGCAGTGTTAAGGGTCGGTCTCACTTGAAATGCCATGTTTTCTCAGCTACCTACATGGGCCTGTGAATTTGAATTGGAATCTCAACCTGAACATACCACCAGCACTTGCTATTTTCAGCTCATGTCCCCGGTACACCCCCCTAAGCGTTTTGCATATTCATTTAAAGAAAATAATCTCATTGAACCAGCTGTGCAAGAGGTACCAATTATTACGAATTGTCACACTACACGTTTACTAGCTAAAAGCAAGGTAAGAATTTTGCAGTCCTTTTCTCATTCCTTTTATTCTTCCCTACCTCCCCACCCATTTAAAGAAAATGCATTTGGCAGGGAATAGAGATTAAAAAATGTAAAGAGCAGTTGGTGCTATAGTTACTAAACAGTGGGTGTTTTCTCCAGTGCTACAGGGAAGAACAAGAAAGAGTCGTGATGTTTTTTTTCGTTAACCTGGGTATGCTAAAGGAGATAATGCTACATGATGAGTCAATCAACTTAGTATGGTATAACTTAGAATTGGTAGTTGATATGTGCTGTCATACTCTCCATGATAAATGAAAAGGGTGCCAGCTGTTGAAAAGAACACCCTACAACCAGCTGCACAACATAGATCAGGAAAGGAAAGTTTTAGCAGCCTGAACATAAAAATTTGGAGATGTTAATAAAGAGTTTGTGCTGCAGTAAGTGGTAAACTATTTTGTTAATAATAGCTATTCTTGGTGTTAACAGGGGAAGGAAAACTTGGGTACTTTGGTAGTTTAAAAACTCCTCAGGTGTTGCACTTAAATGAATTTTATACTCTGCATCCGTAAGCCTACACAGCAGAGGTTCAGTCTCCTGCTTTATTTTTCAAGAGTGCTTTGTACATTATAAGTGAAAAAAATTACTGTAATCAGAAAAACACATTTTAAAATAAATAATTGAAGTTTTCATTGCTATGTGTCATTGAGATTTCTGCAATGTCCTTTATTGTAAAATACTCCTTCTTTTCCAGGATGAAACATTGGTGCCAATTACAGTTTTTCATAATATGAATTCTAAAGAGCTACACAGGAAACCACTTCTCGTTCATGTATATGGAGCTTATGGCATAGATTTGAACATGAGCTTTAAAGAAGACAAGCTGTTGTTAATTGAGGAGGGCTGGATATTAGCATATTGCCATGTTAGGTAAGTTAAATAGAAAATAGAATTCAGATTTTAATCTGTGGGATATACAGGTATTTCTTGATATGCAGCTGAAGAGGTACAGTAATACTTTTTTTTCATGTAGCTATACCCAGTTGTTCATGCTTTTCACTTCCATCTCATTTTACAATTTTTTAAAAGTAGTTTTAACAAAAAAGTAAATTTACCTCAGGAAAAAAAGATTTGTACTTTCAAGACCACATACTGCAGGTAGGTTTCTGAAATCAGCAGGATTGCTGTGTGTAACTTCTCATCTTCTGACACCTCATTACTTCTTGTCTCACCTTTGCTCAAGAAAAATTTTGGTAACATTCAAATTGCAGTGACACGCTACCTCCCTCTCTTTCCAAGAGTATTGTGTACTAATGTTCAGTCTGTGTCTTCTGAAAGCCATTTGCCTTCTACAGCAACTACTTAAGCATTTAACTGGCATCTCTGCTTCTTTTATTGGCTAAATCCTCTCCAGTTTAGGTACAAACCTACTACTTTTATGTAATCACTGTAATACACGCTTCACATTTTCATTGAGATAATAATTCAGTAGCTAAAGAAGAGAGCAAAAGAATTGCTTTATGGAGGGGAAGGAACACCTGTTCCAAAACAAATTCAGTATACAAATATATTCAGTCTGCTATAGTCGGTGACAAGCATTGTGCTGTTCTTCCTCCCACTCCTCTAAGTATCTTAAGATGTAATTCAGGCCTAGATGAAGATGGATTCTTCATCCAAAGATGAAGAGACTACTCAGTTAATTTTAAACTTGAAACCCGAATAAGGAAACTTCAGGTGGCTTAGAACTAAAATCATGGTGGTGTAGAAAGAAATAGAAATAAGTTTTTAAATCCTGTATTACAAAACAGAACATTTCAAATAGTGTTTAAAATTCACGAACTAGAAAAAAAAGCCCCACTTTCTAACACTCTCAGAATTTAAGCTGTATAGAAGACAAATCCTGAGGGCCTCAATGTGGAGCTGAGAAATACAATTTTACTGGTTTTAATAAATGCTGGTGTTAGTGATATAAGTATTCAAAATATTTCAGATACTTTAATAGCTTCCTGTACAAAAAAGATAATGTCTGATTTTGTATTGCCTACAGTGAGGATGTCATTTCCTAAAGGGATGCTTTTCCTGTGAGTTTCAGGACACAAAGGCAAGGAATATGCCTGTGCAGTTAGGATTTTCACCAGTCATCATGCACAGATTTTTTTGCTTGAATGTTGTATATTTTATGTGTAAAGGAGAGTAAAGACAAGCATAGAGAAGAGTTAACAGGGAAGAGAAACTGTGGTTTCGTAATTCTGAGGCTGCTGATGTCTTTCATTAACTGAAGCTTTGCTGTGTAATGTTTTCCAAAGAGACTCCAACTTGACTTGCTTTAAATTTCAGGGGTGGAGGAGAGCTAGGCCTTAGCTGGCACAAAGATGGGTGTCAGCATAATAAACTCAAAGGGCTCCATGACCTTAAGGCTTGCATCATGCTGCTGCACGAGCTAGGATTTTCTCAGCCAAAATACACAGCACTAGCAGCTGCCAGTGCTGGAGGAGTTCTTGCAGGAGCCCTGTGCAACACTGCTCCAGAACTCATCAGAGCCATGGTTTTACAGGTGAGGTGCTGCAGACCTTGCATGGATTATGATGTTAAACTGTATCTTTGGTTCATTCTACCAGTTTCAGAATTGGAAACATTCCAATTCAAAGTTCCCTTTCCTCATTTGAGAAAACCTTTAACTAGGCCTGTGAGGTCCTCTGTCCTATTTGCTAATTTTTCTTTTTTAATAACTTCTAAGGCTCCTTTCGTAGATGTCCTAAATACAATGATGAAAACTCATCTCCCACTGACAATTGAAGAACAGGAGGAATGGGGAAATCCATTAGCAGATGAAAAATGTATGAAGTATATCAAAAGCTATTGCCCATACCAGAATATTAAGCCACAGGTAAAACTATATTCTCCATGTGGAATAGTACTGTAATAAAGTGTAACAGTTTATGATAGAACAAAAAGTGGAAACTGGAATTTTTTGAAAAAGTCTGTTTTACCTTTTCAGTGCTTTAAACCCCAGTGACTTTAGAATTGTCTTTGTTGCTGCTTTGTGTGAAAATGAATCATTAATACAAATATAAACTATTCCAGTAATGATCTTGGCAATATTTGGAGTCATAAATGACCCCTGAAATCAATCAGATGCCATCTGCTAAATAATCCATAGGCTTCAAAACCAGCTCTTGTTACAGGACTGCCAGGAAGTAATAGATTATTCTGTCATAACAACCTTAATATGTAGAATACCTTCTACTTTTGTGGTATTACAATAAAATAAATAGAGAAAAATCTGTTACTTTATGAGAAAAATCAGTTGTCAAGTATTAAACTGGTTTTGGTTTTTAATCTCAGTGTTACCCTTCAGTTTTTATCACGGCATATGAAAATGATCAACGGGTACCACTAACAGGAGTTTTACGATATGTTCAGAAACTTAGGAAGGCTGCACTAGATCATGCCAGCAGAACAAATGAGAAAGGTAAGAAAAAGAATATCACGGATAGAGCTAACTAAACCATATTAGTAAGTCATGTAATTAAACACTATAGTGATTGACTCTTCCTTAGAAGCATTCATTTGTACAGTACAATCCAGTATCTAAAGCTCTGAAGTAACTTCCATTACCTGCAGAGATGAGATGTGCAGTCACGCGGACAGATAAACCTCAGCTTCTGAGATGCACTCTCCAGAGCCTTAAGAGGGTTCAGATATCTCTGTATTGTAGACCTGCCTGAAACAGTTAAGCCCATGTGTTAAATCTGAAACATGACAAACCACAACAGGCTAAGGAAACCCTCTTGAGATGAAAAAGACTAGGAGAATATGAGTGGGGCTTACACTTTCCTAGGCCTCAACATTTTGGTGACCATTGGACAGTGCTAGATGAACCCGTACTGCCTAGTCCAGCTACTGATACAGTCAGCCTGCAGTTCTCAGCAACACATGGATAAAAATCTTATTTTTGCTGCTCTACAAAAAACTACTTTTCCCAGTTTGCTCCCACTACAGGTGTTAGTCCAAGTTAGAATAACTAATGCCAAGGGAGGGACACTTTTATACCTGAAAGTTAACACTAGCTTTGGGACTGTTTCCAGCAAAAGATAACACTCAAGCCTTACTATTTTCTGGTACCAGCCAGTCTGGGGAGAGGCTTTTACCATCAGTACCAACAGAAATCTTGAATTAGCTTGAATACATTTCATTATGCTTCTCTGCTAGCAGCACAACTGCAGTGATTGAGAAGAGATAGGGGATCCTATCAATGCTGCTTCTTTCTTTGCTCAGAAATTAAAAAGCATGTATTTCCAAAAAAACCTCAGACAGAACAAAGATGCTAAATGTATAAATATTTTTCAAGTATATATTTAATAAAAATACAAACAGTCCATCCAGCAAGCCCCTATATGATTCTCTTCTTAAGGAATAACAGAAATTCTGTCAGGACAGAAGACAGAATTATTACCTATATGTGATTCTATGATCCCTGACCTACTCACATCCCCACTTACCCTTTCCTCGTTCATTCAATGTCAAATGACCACTAGCTTCATTGTTCCAGGAAATTGGATCCCTAATATCATCTTAGACATCCAGGCAAGCGGCAGTCATTGCGATTCATCTTGGGAGGATTCACTGAATGAGGTATGCTCCCTTTGCTGCACAAAGCCGTAATGTGGAGGGAGGTGTCCCCTTGATGGGTACTTCAGCCTCAGTAGTTCATGGGAATGTGTGCTTGAATGTGTGTTTGAAGTATCAAAAGAAAAAGAAAACAGACCTGCTGGAATTAAAGTTGCTCTTGCAACCTTTTATAAATATTGCAAGAGCAACTTCTGGTTTTAGATATATATAAAATTCAATGGGGTTTTTTTTACATATATATATATATACATACCCAGATATTTTTATATATTTATCAATATATAATTTTTACAGATATAAAAGAGCCAGTGACAGAGCCATAGTATTTAACCTCATCATGCCTTAAGACCCAAAATAGTGTTAAATGCCCATTGTAATGTGCTGAGAACTTTGGATTAAAGTTTCTAAGTTGTGCAAAACATCGTACCAGCAGGAAGAGTCATGAACTGTAGAGCAGTAAGTGCCTAAAATTGTCATACTGGCTCTTCCATCTTCCTCATGAGTAAAACATATGTGATGGGTTTGAGCTTTACATAAGCTGTACTATCAAAAGAACGCTACTACAATTAGGTTTCAAGATTTCGCACTTTGTACAAGTGTACGTTAACAGCAATACACTGCCAAGACCTGACATACCGTTACCAATGTCTCAGACTATCACAGTTGGATACAAATTTTATTACAGTTAATTTTAATAAATCCTAGCAAATGTTATTTGGTGGTTGAGGCAGTTATTCCCAAAGTTAATTCTTTCAGGGAAAGCCTCATTCTGTCCTAGGTTAAGATATTGCTTAGTATTAGTATGGGAAAGGAATAAGATTAGAATAACTGTACAAGCACCTGAAGGTTTATAGAGCAAGGAATTTTTCTATTTTGTAATGAACTGTTTTCATTGTTTCAGGTTGCAGGACACCTTGCTTTTCTGAACAAAGAACTTGAAGTATGCCATCTCCAACATCATAGCAAGCCCTGCAAATAAACACATTGACCACCTGAAGAACTTTGGGTCGGATTTTTATTGATATGAAAAGCGAACACAGTCTCCAGAGGTAGCTCCTCTTGGATCCCTGCTTTGTGGGTATAAGCAGAAAAATTCAAAGACAAAGTTGGATATAGCACTGGCTTATAAACATACAAACTAATAGCCAAATTTCTTCCCTGTCAGATAGTACAGAAGTAGCCACCTGCATTAATCAGTCTGTTCAGTACGGTTCTCACATAAGCGAGCAGTGCAGCACAGTTAGTGTGCAAAGCCAACATGTGAAATACATATACTTTGTGCTCACAGCCTTGGCAGTTTAAGACCTCTCTTTCAAAACCACATTTTACACAAGGCAGTGTAACTCCCAATAAGTTTTTGATTTAGAAGTCTCGCTGGTTAGAAGTCTTCTAAAACTAATCCCCATGTGTAGGTGATGATGACTATTGCCCTTCCTAGCTACACCGCAGCCATAGTCTACTCATCATATGGTGGGATCAGAAAAACTGCAAAAAAAAAGAAATGGTTCTTTTTTGAGTTAGCTTTTGAATCTTTGAGTTCTAAGATTCAAGAACAGGAATCTTAGAACTCTTTCATCTGAGCAGATTCAAAATCTTGAAGTTACCTTAACTAGCATGGTAATCTTTAAAAAAGAGGTGCCAAAGTCCTCCAGAAGACAAGATGAATACCCCAGGAGGAGATGCCAGAGCTTCTCCAGAGGATAAAACACAAAGAATGACTCCACTGAAGCAACCTGATTCATACTGAGCTGAGCTCAGTAGTTTGGAGCAAGGCACCAAACTGCTGCACATTATTTGTTAAGACACATGTTTGGGGCAGCTAATGGTACCATTACTGAAAAATACACTAGGCAGCCATAAGGTCCTCAAACCAAAACAGAGTTCCCCAGATCACCTGTATGTCCAAAACAGATTGCACTAAGTCAAATGCTTATCCTTCCTTTGTGTCCCTGTAGGTATAAAGTAGGTACACCCAGTGGAGATCAAAACCTGCGAACAAGTGTGACATTCAGTAGTTTCAGTTGCTTACTCTGAGCTGACATATGCCCACCTCACCTACCTACTTGGGTAGGAAAAGGAATTGAGGAATGCAAATGCACTTTTAACTCAGCACGGGACGTGGAGGGGAGGAGGGGGTGTGAGACAATCAATTGGAAATGCAGTCCTGAGTGTAGAATTGGGCATATTTGCTATGTTTTCTTGTTGTTCTTATTAATTTTGAGGATAATCAGCGCTCTTAGAGTTGAGAGAAGAGGTAAACAGTCACAAGTTTTTATATTAGAGTTGCTTGCTTTTACCTCTTTTAACAAATATAGGCCCACCTAAAGGGTATGTTTTGCAAATCTACAACCATTTTTACAGTTACTTCATGAACTGCTACAGGCTTTAGACTCTGCAGGGGCTCTTAATGACCAGCAACCATAAGGACAGCACCCAGGAAGCACCTTTTCTCTTTCCTCACAGAAGTTCATGCACTTAAACAGGACAGTTTTCTAGGACAGGTTTACTTTTCTTCTCTACAGACCTTAAGGGGAAGTCTGTAGCATAGCTTTTCCTTTCCATCACCAGTACAGATGCAAGACAATTTGGTATCTGCTTTATTTTTCAGGACATTTATTTTGTACACAGGTGAAGTTTTAAAAGACAAAGTGAAAGTTTTTCACACTTCCCTGAAACCAATGCTTTCTAAATCAACATAGAAGCCTGGTTATTCTACTCCTGCACTTAACAGGTTGCATAGAGTAAATTGAAGGCACTGGAATAACAAGCTTTTTCTGCCACAAAACAATTTGTTTGAAAAGCTTGCATAGTATGAACAGGCTTTGCTGTTTTATATTCAAGGATGAGGCCTTCTCCCATTTCAGTTTTAATTTGTTCGGTATTGACAGCTTTACCAGCATCATTAAAATTAGTACTTAGTCTTATAGTAGCTTTAGGGGGAAGATTAGGAATGACAGCTTTCAGGTCAATTGTTGATTCCTGCCCAAAATTGAGAACCATCAGAAAGACTCTGTCTAACCCATCCAGTTCCCTCACATACACAAAAACATTGCTATCATTCCAGATGTAGCACATCCAGCCCCGATGAATGGGGAGCTCATTGTCGCGAAGTGAAGTTAGCTCTCTGTACAAATTCAGGGTTGAGTTGGACCAGGTCATCTGGATCTGCAACAGCCAGCATTAACAGGGTCATGTCTTTGTACTGAATGCTACTTACCTTTCACACCCACCCAGCCTGCTGAGAACACACCTATTAGAATTCTGTTTTGACAATTATCTCTTATCATATTTGTCTGCAGATCCCACTGAAAAACTGCCTTTTCACATACACTTCCTTGGCTTTTATGGACTGGCAGAGACAGAGATTATGAGGTATGGCAGAATTTCCCCAGCTCTAACAACTTTCTTCCCCCCAGGGTGTCCTTCTAGTACTGTTTATACAGGAGAAATCCACAGCCATTCAAAACTGGATACTGAGCTTTTTTCATTGAGTCTTGTCTACTGAAGCCACAGGTTGGTTTTGTGGTTTATATTTTTCCTGACTTAGATTTACTTTTTCTGTCTTCAATTCTGGTCAGCACTGGGGAACAGCAAAATCTGTTCAATTCACTGTTCTGCTTATGTTAAGAGATGGTCTATGGTTCTTGTTACAAGGCCAGTGCTTTCTACAGTAATAGAAATTAAAAGAAACAAAACAGTAAAACCAACCAGATTCCAAACTGATACTAAAATAGTTAAAAGAGTGTTAAAAGAGCCAAATTGCCAGATCTACATCATAATTGCAGTTGCTCTGCTTAAATTAATGTAAATAACATAGGCTCCTTACTGCTGCAACGATTTCCTTTTCTAGTAGAATTTGTGAGGATTCAGTGCTTTTTATTCCTTTGAGTTTATTCTGAACTGTCAATTCCCACTCAGTAAAAGGAGTGGGAGCAAAGTAGATACCTTAAGATATTTTTAGAGCATCAGTTTGTCAGACAGGCAGATACCTACTTCAACATTGACACTTTGGTAGTTGGGGTTAACAGGTAACCAGCTATTGTTGCCCTCAGTAAAACCAGCATTAACTTTGCCATCCCACTGCATGGGGGATTTCTCTGGAAAGGTCACCTAGAAAATAAAGTGGCGATTAGTATGTTTACCCCTTAAGCAGCATGTTCTCACATCTTCCAAATGATCACCATCTCAGTATTGCTTCCTTTAGTTTAAGTTAAAATTTAATGAGGAGGATGTAATCCTGCTCCAAATCTAAAGAGTAAATAAGAATCAAAACTGTTACTGAAATGGAGAATGGATGGTCTCATTGCAGTGATGGGTAAAATGTGGAATTCTCAAATGGCTCTACCAGGTTTGTCTCCCCTTGCAACAGATGCTTGGATAAAAGTCTACTAATGACAGCTAGGATGTTCTGATGAATATCTAGCCATGCAGTGAGTAAATATATGGTAATGAGTCCTAAGAAGAGATAAAGTTACAATCACAATAAACTCAAATGCTCTTCAGTGTGTCTTCTTTTGTAACCATCACACTTTTCACCTTAGAACTCTTCAGGCTTACATTTGCAAGGGGTACAGTTTGGACAGGATTGTTTGCATTAGAAAGATAAAATTATTTCCAAGTGCAAAAACTTTACTGAAAACCAGCTTTAGCTGATTCAAAAGTGTCATTGTAAAAAGGCTGAAATTCTCTTTCAGAGAATTCAGAAGAATTCTGGAAAAGCTTCCTCATTGTTATTGAGGAGCTGCCAAAAGATCTGACACTTAAATTTAATGATATAAGAGGGCATAGAATATGTTGCACATACTTTGAGTGTTTGTTTTCCATGAAAACTGTTTTTCATACAAAGGGCACTTTTCAATACAATCTGTCAGAACAGCAGCTCAACAAAAGAAATTGTCACTTTGCTTTGTGACATTATAAATAATGGGTTTCTCCTTTTAGTCTGTTCTGAAAAGCAGGGAAAAGAATCCTAAGTTTTGAGCACTGGTAACACTCCCTTTCATCTTTACCTCTTTTAGTTTCTCCTGAAGTATTTTAAATGTTGCGGCTAGAAACTATACCCTGAGCAAATACTCTGTGTCTTTCCATGACACCCATTAATCAGGGAATATTCCTCCTCAGGTTGAGTGGCTCTGCGCTGTTAGAAAGTAGAGAACCTCAGGGCAGCCACTAACAGAGTAAACCTTGAGGAGCTGATTTCTTAGAGGAAATGAGATTTCCTTTTAAATCAGAGAATCATCTCACATCTGAATTGGACAAACCTGGCAGCAATCCTGTGCTTGTTCAGGTATCTTTCCTTTTGATGCACAGCCATCCAACACCACTGGTAATACCACTGGGTCTGACTCCCTAACAGAGACTTTCTACAGTGAAGCCAGCATCTGCCACAGGACTGTATTTTTGTGGTGCTCAAATACAGTCATATGAGAGGCAGAGCTGACCCATTCCCTTTTGTGCATGAC